CCCTGGCATCTTCACAGAGTAGTGTCCAGCGCTGTTGATGAGAGATACCGGTTGTGCTGCAGTTTGGCGAGATGCTGAGCCCCCTGCATAGCCTTCAATCAGGCCTTTGGCTACGGCCAACACAAAATCTGAGTGTGACACCTTGCTGCCCGGATCTCCCGCCTCTGGGTCGCATTCGCTGCTACTGCTGCTGATGTTCTTGTCTTCAACTGCTGGATTGTGGTGTTTGAAACAGATCCACCCATTCACTTTGGCGATGTCGATGAGAAAGAATAATATACCACGCCACAAAAACTGCGACTTACGGGCACAGGTATGGTAGGCCCTGAGTTGGTCCCCTCTGCCTACTCCTCCCATGTGCACTAGTAAGCAGGAGGTCGTGGGTTCGAGTCCCACCTGAGTAAGCTTGCGAGGTTTTTTTCGCAAGCTCTCGGACAAGCACTGAGCATACAGGGCTTATTTAATATACGTTGGGTAAGGGCAAAACCTGTTATATATAATCCTCCCATGTGCTTGGTGTAGTCCCTTGCTTGGGGGGCGCTGACACACTTTTCACCTTTCACTTGCCTGTCTTGTCACTCACAACCTTACGCTTCAGGAAATCAGTGGTCGGGTCTCTCCACGCTTGGTGTGATGAAGAGAGCAACATCATCACCCTGGTATCTTTCCAAATGACTGCAGTAAGCTGGCCATTCTGTCGGCTATAGAAGGGTCTCTCTTGGTCTTCTTCATCTGGCTGATCTTTTGTTGCTGTGGGTTGGTGTCTTTGGTTGTGAATTCTTTAGGTAGCCCTTTGCTATTGGATTTGACGGTGCCAGTTATGTACGTCTTCTTAGCGTGGAGGCGACAGGCTAGGGAGACAGAGGTGTATAACCTGTCTGTGAAGACGCGTTGATACACTCCCAAATGATGCTTAGCCACTTCCATGACAATATCTATCATTTTTGCTGGCTGATCTGTAATGGGGTGTATCATGAAATTCAGGAAAACTCCAGTTGCTGCCTCTGCAATGGTATAAATCTTAAAGCCCACTCGTATCGGTTTTAGCGGCATGAAGAACTTGCGGACGCTCGCCTGAAAGCCTCGATACCTAATCATGGCTTCATCAATGGACAGTTCACGCCGGGGATGATAATTATTTCTGCATCTCTTCAGCACCTTATCCCAGATGGG